GGTGCAGGAGGTTGAGGACAAGATTCAGGCAATGGTGCTTGCGGCTATGACGGAACTCTCGGAAGCTCAGAAGGGTATCCAACGCCAGGTCGATTATGTAATGAAAAGGAACAGCCGCCGAATTGAAGAGCTACAAGGACAACATCACGAGCTAGCGAAGCAGGTGAATTCCCACGAGAACACACTTCACCACCTCACACAGTAGCGTCAATGTTTCGCTACCAATCTTTTTTCCGACGCTGTCTTTTAGATTTAGTTTGGCACGGCGAGGCGGGCAGTCCGCGCAGTGTGGTAATGATTGCCACCACACTGAAGAAGACCCGACCACCTTGGTTCAGTTTGTAGCTGTTCATGTGCTAGACTTGGCGCGGAGTGGCGGGCAGTCCGTGCAGTGTAAAGATTTCTGCTTTGAAGAAGACCCGACCACCCTTTTTCATTTTCACGCGCACTTCGCGTCATACCCTCCTCTCGCCTCAATGGGTCGATGGGTCGATGAGAAAAAGAGCGATGCTCATTCAGGTCAGTTTGCATGGTCAGTTTTCGCAGAGTTGCTTTCGTCGATTGGCGTCGGTGAGAGCCTTGCAACAGTCTTACGGGTGTTGTCAATGAGATTGAACGCAGACTTCATAGCCATTTTGGCACGAATTTGCTTTGTCATCTCCTGCGTCATCGGCCCTTGACAATGGCGACCCGTCGTGTCATCAAGACGCACCTCAAGCAAGAAGAGGGTGTGAAGCAGTTGATGAAGCGCTCCATTGAGAACATCAGGAAGCGCATGAGCTTCGTGAAGGTTGAGACGCAAGAGCCACCAGAGCTTCAGTCCATCCTCAACCCCATCCGACAGAAAATGGAGACACTCAAGAGGGAGGTGAAGAGCGGAGAGACCAACATCAAAGCGGTGTTGGAGCAGATGGACGAAGACAAACTTCGTGCCTTGAAGCGCATCTTCGCCCCCAAGGACAAGAACAACAGTGCCTCATCCACCAAGACCATCACCGAGGAGAAGCTCATCCAGACCTGTCCCATCGTGTTGGAGGAGGACATGGCAAAGCTAGACCTCTACTTGGAACACATCAACCTTGCGAAGGACACCATCCTTACCACCTACACCGAGTGCTTCGCTTTGACCTACAATCAGTGCCATGGCACAAGCGTGAATTTCAACAATGAGAAGTTCATCGGCGAGGTTGACAGTGCCATGACCTTCCGTCAGGCGCTCCGTCGTGTGGCGAACTCCCAGAACGGGAACGACAATGGCTTTGAGGAAGTCATCAATGAGGGAAGCAATGGAGCACGTAGATGCATCATTTGTTAGGAAGTCTCACTGAAAAGGGTTTTTCATCACAGGCATGGTATTTGACTTCCGAATACTGTCGGTATTGAGGTTCTCATTGCCCTCGGTATTCGAGTATTTTTGCTGAAATACCCTCGTTATGTGGGTTCTAAAACCTTCGGTATCGAGTATTGGCATCCCCAATACTGTGATGAAAGGAAACTCTTTTGTCAGGACAATCTCGTTATGCACGGGGTCTCGCATTGACTTTCGCACAGCTGTCAGATGTCCGTTTGAAAGCGGCGGATGCATTAGATTGCCTCCGTTGGAGCTTGGGATGACGAATTCATTGTCAATCAGAGACCGGTAGGATGGAGAGAAAAGGCAGTCCTTCAGTCTTGAGCTTGTCATCGTGAGTGATGCAATGAATGCCTCAGACCTTTACTTGCATCGTTTGCATCACCCCGCTCCGAGGTCAAGGAAACATCACCGTGTTTGTCTTTCTGAAGGTGCATTCCGTCCAACCAGAGTTTGGAACAAGACTTCAAAGTCAAACCTTTTTGACAATCACTTCAACCAGAGATTGAAACCAGTTTCTTTACCAAGGTTACCAATCAGTCCGTCAGAGCCTGACATTTGAAGAACTCTTCAACCAACGAACGGAAGGTGTGATTTTGGAACATCACTCATTGTATAATAAGACTGTATTATAAGACACCCATATATCTTTGTAAGTATATTCCTGTATATACATCGCATTTATGTGTATCCTGTCTGGTCAGAAGGTGTTGAGGACTTTGACTTCGTGGGGTTGGGAGCGTGGCGTTCGTTTCGAGTGGCGTTGTTCGCGATTTTTTTGTTATATTTAGGAAGAAAAAGAAAGAGAAAGAAGGAGAAGGGTGCTGGGCTGGATGGGGGGAGCAAAGGTGGCTTTGACCCATAAGGCAAACCCCCACCGGCCCAGCAACCCAGAGAAGAGATTCTTTTTGAATTTTGAATTTGGAGTTTTCTTTCTGTTTATATATATATAAAAATAAAAGTAAGACATCACAGAAAGGGTGGTCGGTGATGATGAGGAGCGAAGAAAGATAAGCACACTGTCATTCACCACCATCCTTTCTGTAGTAGGATAAGACCGTAAATGGTCATACATATGAATAACCTTTTGGGGGAAAATAAAACATTTTTACATCACTCCCATCCACTCATCGGTTTAACTAGCTGTCCAAAATGTGGCAGGAACAGAGATTAGTAAGTGAAGATTTCTTGGCAAGTGGCAGGTCAGGGAATTGGAGTGAAGACTTCGTGGCAAGTGGCAGGTCAGGGATTTTGAGTGAAGATTTCGTTGAACACAGCACCGCACCTTTCAACAGCACACCTAAAGACACTTAAAGAAATGTCGCCTTATAGAATTAAGATATTATGCCTTGTTATTTAGTCATTGACGGAAAGAAGCAAGAAATGGATGAGGACATCTTTGACCAAATGGTTGAAGCCCTCCATCAACCAACAACACCAAACAACACACCAAGAGCAAACCAGAGTAGATGGAAACAGCCAGGGGCTCTTTTTAACGACTTCAAGAAGTCGTTATAAACCCGACGGCACTTACGACAAAAAGACCATTAGATGAAGACTACTTCAAAAAATACTACCACAAGAACCTGAAAGTTCCGTTCAAGTGTCCGGACTGCGGACGCACCATCTCATCAAAATCCAATTTGTCAAAACACCGCCAAACCAACGTTTGTATGAGCATTCGACGCCACTGATATCGCGTTGAGGCTCAACCCAAGTCCCCAAAACCTGAACCCCAAACCCCAGCCCCCAAAAATACTTAAAGAAAA